TGCCCGGACACTGAGGTCCAGCTCCGAGGGCCTTCTGGTGGTTCCCTCACTGCGAGAAGCCAAGTTACAGGGAACCAGGCAGAGGGCCTTCTCAGTAGTGGCACCCGCCCTGTGGAACGCCCTCCCATCAGATGTCAAAGAGAACAAAAACTACCAGACTTTTAGAAGACATCTGAAGGCAGCTCTGTTTAGGGAAGCGTTTAATGTTTGATGCATTACTGTATTTTAATATTTTTTTGGAAGCCACCTAGAATAGCTGGGGAAGCCCAGCCAGATGGGCGGGGTATAAATAAATTATTATTAGTAGTATTAGTATTACACATTTCCAGATAGATTTGCCTGAACAAAAATGTTTTTAGCAGGCGAAAAGAGTAGAGTGAAGGCACCTGCCTGATGTCAATAGGCAGGGAGTTCCAAAGGAAGGATGCATTAAGATTACAGGTTCAGAAGAAGTATTATGTGGCCCCTGCAGCAGTGCCAGTTCTGGAGATCGAAGCAGTGAAATGGGCACATATGGAGTCAGGCAATTCGTCAAGTTATTATTCCATCCATACCCATTAATGGTCTTTATCTCCTCCACCCACCCACAGATCGTTATTCTCAAATCCTATACAGAAGACCAGATCTAAATCAAGCCCAGACACATATGTGGGCCAGAAATTGATTGACGCAGTCTCACTTATGGCCATGACACCCTGAGCTGCTCCTGGCAAAGTGACCTCAGTGTGACTTTTAGAGAATATTAAGCTTCTCCAAGATCACCAGACTTGGGGGCCTGAACACCACATTTGAGACCACTGGGACGTCTAGGCAGTGGGGTACCTAAATCCCAGTCTTGTTTCAGGATCCCAGCACCAGGTACGCACTTCAAAACTGGTCAGCTACCAGAAATCCTACCTAACCTTTCTCCCGAAATGACTCACATATGCTCCCAATATGTTCTCTGCCACCATGAGGACTAGATACTTGCTTTTTTACTTGAGGGGGTGGGGAATGAAAGCATAGAACGTGTGCCTGATCATAGATCAAACTCTGCATGTGTGGAACATACATAGTCGTGCCTGTTGCCATATCACTAATATCTTAGCTACAAAGCTTTCCTAGACAGACTTTAATTAAAAATATTCTTAACCTGATAGCTAATGCTTTAATGACTTTCGACACTGAATGATTTCACACTGAACAACACTGATGCAAATTTTATTAATCCTGACTCTGAATGAGTAAAGTGAACTGACATTTCGGTCTTCCTGGAACCTGGATTGATTCCTTGTTTCACAGTTAAGAAATACCCAGCTGCCAGCTACTCAGAAGGGCTGGAACCTCCCTTGCCACTGGAAAAGGATTTCACATCCGTACCAAGTCCAGGAGATGAAACTTGGAGTCACCAGGTTAAGCTAATTCTTTGTAATTTTGAATTCATCTCAGGGTTGGAATTCCAAAATGAAAGATGACAAGGAGTCACATTCCTTCCTACAGAGCCTCTCCCCTGATGACACTGCTCCACTGCTTCGCTAGTGAAGGGTGGGGAGCACTTTGCACATCCTCAGAGGTCCTCTTGTCTCACTTATTTTACATGAGGTGGCTAAGCTATTTTTGGCCTGCAGGCTGCTTTGTCCTGTTGTATCTTCTCCGGGGCATGCATTCCAAAATGGCTCCTGAAGTAGGTGTGGACAAAAGTGGGGGTGCAGATGGCCACACTCACCCATGTATCACTAATGTGTGGGAAGGTGAGAGGAGATGCCCCATGTCAGGGCAGGGCTATAGGGGCCATCTTGCAGTCCCTTTCAACATGCTTTAGTCCTTCATGTGAGGAACACACCTTTTCCTATCTTTTTCTTTACTTCTGCTCTCTGCCTTTCAAAGTACTTAACATGTTCCAATAAGACTTCATAGCAGA